TGGGACCTTCCCTGGTCCTTGCACGGGCTGGCCACCCGGGACCCGGACGGTCCGGCTGGTAGCCTACCTTTTTTTGTTTTTATTTTTATTATTTTTTTTGGCCCGGCTGTGCAAGCGACCCCGGGGCACTCTGGTAGCCTAGTGCCTGAATGAATAAAACCAGTCCTTGCCAGGCCGGTACATTGAAAGCGCGAATAAATATTCCTCGTATACTGCTGAAGTTTCCCAGGGGGCTTGTACTGATGGTTCGAACGCACCCGAGGATACCTGGTGGGGATATATTTTGGGACATAGTCCGATCCGACACCTACCATCTTCGGCAAATGTAATGCATGGTCGATTCAGCTGTATCTGGCCCAACAAATGCCCTAAATACAACTCAAATAACCAGTTCATGAAACGACAGCAGGACTCTACATCCAAGCGGATTCAAGCCAATCAAAACCCAAAAGAATACTAGTGTTACAGGCCTTCTCGGCTGAGAATATGTCGCCTCCTTTGTTTAAACCACCAGTACTTGGCCCAGCTATCGGCCGCGGAAAAAAATAGAGTAGAAACGTTTCTAGTTGGATGAATTTGGGCGCTCCTGTAGTGGCCCATACGTTTCCTAAAATCGCGTAGCGTTAACGGGCACGACTTTAGGAAGTAATGGTGGTTTAATAAAACAACAATGTGGACAAATGCCATTCACAAAAAAAAAAGGGGCAAGTACGTTTATGTCACAACAAGAGTTTCAAACGGGCAAAAAAAAGAGCGCGTGCAAAAGAACAGCCGCCAAACTTAAAGAGGGCAATGAAAGTACGGCGGCCGTGGTATCAGGCCGGGTGTCATAACTACAGGGCTCGGCCGTGGTGCCAGACGGCAAAAAAAAAACAAACCAATCTGAGGCCACCCGGGCCGACCGGGATGGACTGTGTTACTACCCGGGCCGACTGGGGTGCCGCAGATTGGCCCGGGTGGCCTGGGCGGCCCGGCCGGGCCAATTCCGGGGCAAGTCCCAGAGCAAAAAAAAAAAAAAAAAAAAAAAAAAAAGTAAGAAAAAAAAAATGATAAAAATCTGAAAACAAAAATGTCATGCAGAATTCCAAACCAAACATCATTTTGCATGAGGGTGACCACAAAATCGCTATGGAATCCAAAAAAAAAAAGAAGACTAAATTATATCATCATACCCTTTTAAGCCCCTTTTAAGCCCCTTTCAGCCCTTTCGAACCCCACTTATACCCCATAGGCACCCTTTAGTGAGATATCACACAAGGCCAGAATTGGGCATGTCTCAGTGGGCGCAAAATTGCCCCACTGCCAATAAAATAAAATAAAATAAAATAAATTGAACCCCTTTTTGGTGTCGTCCGGGTACCCTGGGCCGGTCACCCCCCATGCAAGTTCGCCCCAGTTGCCCGCCCGGGAGGCCTGGGCCTGGTGACTCTGGTATAACATAGCCAATGGATCTATTTGGACTGAAATTGCTCTCTCAAGGCTGTTCTTTTTGCCCGCACGACGCACATATTTTTTTTTTTGCCTTCACGAACTCGAAACGTGCTGCGGCCGCACTTGTTTCACAAAAAAAAAACAAAAAACAAATCGTTAATAGCAGAGAGATCAAAGCACAACAAGTTAAAAAAAACAAAAAACAAACAAACAAAAAACATAACAAGTAACAGAACAAACACAATATTAAGTTATCCACCATCATTAAAAAAAAAATAATAATAATAAAAAATCCACCACCTTATGAAATGGTCGAAGCACTTGTACAGACTATATTAGATTGGGAGGGAGGAGATTCCACTCCACACCCATCCTTCTCTCCTCACCCCTTAGCAAAATCTTTTATTTGATTTGAGGAAATAGTCCCCTTTACCTGATCAGTGATCACCAACGATGAATGAATGCATGGTCCTGCTGACTCCTACATCATATGGTTTAGGATTTACTATAAAGTTATATAAACTCTACACATAAATGTACACTGGCTATTTCGGTACAAACGTACAGGCATACAGACTGTATAGAAGGGTCTCTATGTACCAACGCTTGGCTTAGGGAAAAAGGAAAAAAGACCAATAATGCGAAACTACAAACAATGTGTATACTACTGACACGAGCCCCTAAAGAAGCCTCTACAGCTCTCTCTCTCTCTCTCTCTCTCTCTCTCTCTCTCTCTCTCTCTCTCTCTCTCTCTCTCTCTCTCTCTCTGTGTGTGTGTATTTACCAATGCATTGCTTAGGGAAAAAGAAAAAAGACACAATAATGCAAAGCCACAAACACTGTGTATAAAACACAGGCCTCTAAAGGAGCCTCTGCAGCTCTCTCTCTCTCTCTCTCTCTCTCTCTCTCTCTCTCTCTAGCTAGCTTGCTGGCCCTCTCCACGTTGATTGACAGCATCAATGGCTGCTAAGCTCACCCTAAGCCATTCAAGGTTCGCTCCTGTCTCGCCCCCGCCACAACTCCCTCCCTTGCCCTACCCTGGCTGTGGAGAGAGACATGATCGCTCAGGATCGCTCCTGTCTCTCTCCCCTCACAACCCTCTCCCCTCACAACCCTCTCCCCTCACAACCCTCTCCTTTGTCCTTCCCTCCTCACACATCTCCCTCCTTCTCTCCTGTCTCCCTTCCCACACCACACCACTCCCTCCCTTCAAAAATGATCTCTTCCTTTGTCAACTGGTTCCTGTGTGCTTCTCTCAAACCATGCCCTACTCCTCCCTGCGCAGCAATTATTGCATGTCCGGTTTTCTTAGTTTAGTTTACCTGCAGCTCATTGCTCACCACCTCGTGCCACCCGGCCATATGTCAGAGGGTTCTTTTTTTTTGGGGGG